TGTGACGGAGTCAAAACTGGAAATTATTTCCCAAGAGAAATCCCCAAAATGCCCTTAAACAAGATTTTTCAACAAAAATGTGAAATGAGTCCATAGGAGGCTCATTTCACCAACGAAAGAGTTTTGTCTAGAAATGACCATGCACACAGACATAACTTACCTATTAGGATGCACTACAATAATCCACGGCTTAAAAATACCGCCGATGCAAAATCCGACCCCCCAACGGCCAAAATGGCAAAAATGATCATAAAAAGGAAATTTTGAAACTTAGAATCATAAAATGGTTTCAAATTACTGTTTGGCCCTTAGCCACACTTCATGCATGATTAATGAGACCCTATGAAAGAATCAAAATGAAATTCCCACACCCGATGCAACCATGATAAAACAATGACTTGGCATTTTTCAATATTTTCATAGAATTTCATGAAGTCAAAAGTTACATACGATACAAAATACATGCCATTGGCCTCCGGCCTCATCTCAATAATGTCAAATACATAGTAAAGAGTGTACTCACGTACACATTACTTATTTAGAATAAAAAATACACATTTTGACAAATAAGGCTACAAGTGGCATTTCAAGCCAATCTTTACAAGAACTAAAACCTTCAAGTCCATAATCATCTAAGCAATGATGAACATCACGAACCAAGTCTTCGTACCTGAACAAATCTCCAGTAACTTTAGGGTGAGCAACATAAGGTTACTCGTAAGAGATGAGCATGCATAGACCTAACATTTTACAAGTTTATCACCTTAAGGTGATACAATTCAAAAGGATCATGCCACCTAACGTATATGTCAAAGGTGAGACTCAAGGAGCATCCTAAGCTACCTTAGATCATTTCTAGCATAAATCACATCCTTCATGCAATTCAAACAATATAAGAGCATGCTATACAAAGCCACATGATATAGATTCTCAAGCCATCAACTTGAAACCTAAAATATGATAACAACTAAATATAACACTTTAGTATAATTAGAATTTCTAATTCAACACATCAAGATATAGATTCTCAAAGTTATCAACTTGAAATCTAAAGTGCAAAAACAATTAAATATAACAATTTAGCATAATTAGAATTTATAATACAACGCATCAAGACATAGATTCTCGAAGTTATCAACTTGAAATCTAAAGTACAAAAAAACTAAATATGACAATTTAGCATAGATGTACTTAACAACATCAAAAACATGCGATGATTCCTTAAAAATCATAATGCATAAATGTTCTTAACAACATTAATTCGTCAATAGCCAAAACCACAAGTCACAATTAAATATGATTGTCAACTAGGAATTTAATGCGAAATCAAATAGTGGAAGACTTGGACATCTAAGATCGGAATTCTGCTGAGACCTCAATGGTTATTTTGGGCATTAACCCGCTGGGAAGACCACCCTAGTGCGCACTATCTCAATTAGGGAGAACTCATACCTCCCGCACTAGAGCCAAACTCTAGCCATGTCACTTGTAACAATGTTTCAAGACTCCAAATAAGCCAAATAAGTTCACAACTTATAAATAATTTATATAATACACGAAATCACCTTCCATGCGCAAGTAGGTTGAAACCACACAATCCATACCTTAGAGTTTAAATTCTAAAATGGCATATATAATGTCAATTACAAAGTGTGCAATTCATTACACAAGGTAACAATATATTCCATAACGAAAACATGTTCTCATGAATATAAAATATAGCAACAATGTTATCCAATGCTCAAAACACAACAAAGTGAATACACAACAAGTCCAAGTCCATGATTTGAATATATAAACAACTTCTAAAACACTAATAGATCCATTGAACCATTAGATAGAATTTAATTAAACAAAATAATTAAATTCTCTAGATTTTAAATTAATTCCAAATAACCTCAAATTAATATATGTTAAGCAATATAGCATGGTCATTACATATATCAAGTCAAAAGTGCAAGATGAGCAAGATATCATCAAATAGAATTTAATTAATTTAAATTAATTAAATTTCTAGATTTCAAAAATTATCCAAATGATCCTAAATTAATATATAACAAGTACTAAGTCATGGTCATATCTTATATCAAGTCTAAAACGGAATACAAGCAAAACACAATTAACTAGAATTTAAATCAAATTAAATTCATTTAATCTCTAGATTTGAAAACTCATTTAAATCATCCCAATTTAATATATATCAAAGATCAAGTCATGACCATGCCATATACCAAGTCTAAAATGAGTTATATGCAAGTTAGGATACATTATTAATTTCTCAAATTAACAAAAGGCATGCATACAACTTATATTTCATACAAAAGCAAGTAAAACCACTTAGAAAATAAATTATAACACCCCCTACCTCACTAGAGAAGTGTCTCTCTAGAATCCAAGGCAACTCAACACAAAATGGGAAACCTTTCAAGGGTTTTGAAGAGAAAGATGAGGGGAACAAAAAGTATTCCCAAGGTTAAGTTTGGAAATCAATGGAAGGCTCTCAAAAAACAAGGTCAAGGCCTAAGGCTTCAAGCTCCATCCATGGAGGCTAGGGTTTTCTTTACAAGAGAGGGAAATAATAAAATCAAGTGTGAAAGAATGTGAGTGGAGGAAATTGAAATCCTCCACTCATTATGTGGTCTTACAACAAGGTCAACACACACAACTTTGGTCAATTGCACAAAAACCCTTCTTTAACAACATAATTCCAAAGTAACCCAAAAATAATTGCAAGACTTAATTTAGAGCATACACTTGTCACTTATCCAAGCATCCACTATAGGCTTAATCCTAAGCCTACACTTGTCAACCATCCAAGCCAACAAGTGCACCTATCCTAGGTCAACAAGTGGTTGAATCTCCATCCTCCACATGTCATCATCCAAGGCACCAAAGTATCCCTACACAAATGTCAACAAGTGGACTAATGAGAGTGCGACACTTGTCATATTTTTCAAAATTTGTAAAAAGGTCATTTTTGAAAATATCTTCCAAATTAAATTACAAAATGGTCCCTAAGACGAAAAATAATTACTTATAGTAATTACACAAATGACCCCAAAAGAAGGAAAAATTCCAAAGAAGTGTGCATCCACATCCCTAAAGAAGAAAGTACACAACTAGCATACTTTTCTACAAAAGCAAAAATACACATAGCATGTAATTTAAATATCATGGATGCATGCAAAATCAAAATCAAATCCGAACACGAAAAGTGAGGTTGTGCCAACAAAGTGACAAACGGAAACAAGACGAAAAGTGAATAGTGTCACAAAAGTAAAAATGTGAAAATGACTCGATTCTTAAAGAAATTCGTCAATCTAAGAAAAAGAGTTTGGAAATTATTCCCGAACACTCAAGATGACACTAAGTGATGAGAACCTGAACTCAGAAAGGAAAATATCAACAAAAAAAAAAATAAATAAATAAATAAATTTCCGTGAAAATCTGAGAAAAGGAAAGGGAGGAAAATGACCGGGTCATTACAAAATCACTGTGGAAACCCCTGTTGTTTGCCTTCTAATTTCTTCAGTCAGAATCATGCTTACAACTTCATCAAACTTCAACTTGGTCTTCTGTGTAAAGCTACTGATCGCTGTAACTGTGCCACTCCAACTCTCGGGTAACTGCCCTAGAATTATCAGTGCTCAGACCTTATCTTTAAAGTCGATATCAACAGACTCTAATTGCCCAACTATCTTATTAAACGCATTTAGATGTTCGTTGAACTTACCACCTTCGACCATTTTCATGCTGAACAACTTCTTGATCAAGTGCACCTTGTTCGCTGCAAAAGGCTGTTCATACATACTAGAAAGGGTTGCCATGAGAGACTTCGTCGTCTTCTCATTCTTGATGTTGAAGGCGACGGACTTTAACAACGACAATCTAACGGTGCCAAGAGTCTTCCTATCAAGTAATTCCCATTCTGCATCTTTTGTATCCTCTAACTTCTCTCTCAAAAGTTGATATAGATTTTTCTGAAATAAAAGGTCTTTATTTGCATCTTCCCGAAACTGAAGTTTATGCCATTGAACTTCTCGATCATGGATGTAGATGTTTTATCTTCTGATGCCATTACTTCCACTCGAACAAACAGATCTGATCGAAAGACTTTTGAAATTTCGTCAAACACCTTTTGTGCCCTAAGTTCTCAACCAAAGGCTCTGATACTAGTTGTTGGAGTTGCTCTGTACAATCAACCAGATTCGATACCAGTTGTTGTGGCGGAAACGCAAATAATAACGGTGTTCTAGGAAGAAACAAGCAATCATGAAGAATAAATAAAATAAATAAATAAATAAATCACACACAAGAACACAAGATATACATGGTTCACTCAAATTTTAAGGTTACGTCTATGGAGCACACCGAACAAATTCAGTATAAAGAATATGAAGAATTACTATGAATAATTTTCTCTCAATATCTCTCAATTGCTCTATCTTGTATTAGCATAAATTAATCAATCACACAACACGTATAAAGATCCTCTCTTTTTTCTTCTCTCTATTTTTACCACACCTTAAGATCTAATTATAGTTGATATACATAGCCCCAAATAATTTGTCTTGTAAGAAATTACTTTTTGTACAATTCAAAATCAATAAAAAAGTTAAAACAGATCAGAAAACTGAATTTTTTCTAAAATTCAACAATCTTAAAATTTCTATATAATTAAATTTTTCTAAAAATCCTTCAAGTAGTTAGGCTCCACAAAGTTCGGAATTTTGGATAACTCAATTGAAACATACACTCTTAATACGCTAATGGTCGTTCGGAAATGAGATTTTTAATGGCGTACACATGCATTTATGATGAGAAAGACGATTAATTAATCCTACATCAGTAACACACCCACCACATGAGCCAAGACGAAAATAGCCCACCTCTAGTCATGTCACTTTGATGATGTGTCACACATTGAGTGATTTTTCATTGTGGAGCTGACATGGCCTCCACACCTGATTCCATCTCTCTTTTTCTATATATCTTGCTGTTTTTTTGTCCAACTTGTTACTCCACTCCTCTTAAATCTCTGCTCACACAAGGCGCTCCTTCCCTCAATCTCTCTTCTCTCCAAAGCCCTCTCTCTCTCTCTCTCTCTCTCTCTCTCTCTCTCTCTCTCTCTGTCCCCTGAGTATCTCATGGCGACCAAACCAGCTGGTGATGAGGCGTCAGAACCCCTGAAGTACCAGGTATAATCCTGTCCTTGCAAATATATTCATCCATTTTAGTTCCTTAAATTCAGTTTTTAATATACACACACACACACACACACACACATATATATATATATAAATATGTATGTATATTCATTGTTTTTCAGACATGGGTCTTGAAAGTTTCTATCCACTGTGAAGGCTGCAAGAAGAAAGTCAAGAAAGTCCTTCAGAACATCGAAGGTACTACTGAAATCTTCATATTCTTTTCTCTCTCTCTCTCTATCTGTGCATGTGTATATAGAGTATATAAATATACGACGTATGTATTTGTGTGTGTATATATATATATGCACACGTGATTCTAAATCTTCTGGTTTGGATTTAGGATTCAATAATCTATTTGGTTTTGTTTTTGTCATCTTAGTTCTCATTTAAATGCCTTCTAATTGTAGATTTTTCTTATGTGTTCAGGTGTTTATACCACGGAGATTGATTCTCAGCAACACAAGGTCACTGTGACTGGAAATGTGGACGCGGACACACTCATCAAGAAGCTGATGAAAACAGGGAAACACGCGGAACTCTCACCCGAAAATTTTGTCAAGGAGAAGAAATCCGGCAAATCAAAGAAGAAGAAGAAGAAACAGAACAACCCTGAAAACAGCGAAGAGGGTAGTGATGATGAAGCGGACAAGAACCAAAACGCCCTAAAAAATGAGCAGGCCGAGAAGAAACCTGAAAACAATGCAGCCGTTGAAGAGTCCCCGGAGGCGGAGGATGATGAAAGTGAGGAACCTGCTCAGACAACCGGCGGTGGCAGCGCAGGAGGGAAAAAGAAGAAGAAGAAAAAGAAGGGGCAAAGTGGTAATTCGGCAAATGGAGCCGGAACTGGCAGCGATCCACCGGCAACCACCGGATTTCCTACACCTACTGGGATGCTGGACCCACATACTGTATCAATGAATCTCAGCCCTCCAACTCAGCATGTGTATCCATATCCACCAACTCCCTATTATGATCCACCTCCAGTGTATGGGATGAGTTACAATACGGCGGCGTATCCTAGTACTACCACTTCGTATTATGCTCCACCAATGTACCGTTATATGCATAATCCACCACCTCCACCGTCTGATCCAATCAATTCCTATGATGATGATGATGATGAAAGTGGATGCTCAATCATGTGATAGAGAGAGACTTTTGGGACGTGGAAGGGGTATACGTAAATCATATTATGTTAAAAGTTAATTTTGTAATATTGTAGTAGAAGTTCTAAATGTAATACTAGTGCTAGTATAAAGTTTGTGTTAGGTTATGAAGGGTCTTTGATAGTTTGTTTTGTTAAGATATGCTTTTCTTTGTTTGTTACCTTGGGTTTGCTTAGGCATGTCAATAACCTTGTGACCTATATATAAATCTCCATCTCACACCCTTGCGCAAGGGAGAATTTTGGTTGTGAAATCTATAATATATAGATACATATATATATATATATATATATATATGAAGTCTCATTGGTAAAGGATGATACTGTCTCTCATGAACATCCCAAGGATTAAAAATGAAGCCAATCTCTGTGCTAACTTTTAGTGGAATAATTTGAAGTAATTTTAGTCATACTTGAAATTTTTATTATCAAATTTACAGAAACTATCTATTAAATATTTTGCTTAGTTTTTAATTCTGGTTTTTTTGGTTTCATTTCAGTTAATTAATAATTATTATTTTTTACATGCTATTACCTTACATTCCTGTTATGTAGGGTGTAGAGGTAGTATTGATAGACCTTCATGTTTAGTCCTCTGCATTCAGAATTTCAGATCGTATAATTTGAGCCAACCATTCTAAGTATATATACATGATATGTTAATAAACTCGATAGAATTTTATGACGTATAAAAGGTAATCTACAGAAATTTTGGTATATAGAGGTCCAATGTCAACTCATATGATCATGTCATTCTTAAAAACCTTAACTATAAATTTGGCCTTACACCTCAAATTATATTGAGCCAGCCACTATATATATATATATATATGCACGGTGTATATTAAATATATATCTAATGTTAATTTTATTTATATTTCATACTAGAGGATGGGAAGAGAACACTGCACGAGGAACCAAATCTTCTAATGTGTCATTCTCGTTATGCATGTGCATGTCTTGTACCTAATATAATAACTTTACGTCATAAATGCAACAACTACATAATTTAAATAAATTATCTAATTAAAGATAGAAAAAATTACATATAAATGGAGTCAAAGTTCCATATTTACTTAGAGGCTGAGTCAAAGTTCCATATTTCTCTAAAATGGATTGCCGAGGTGGCACATGGTTTTTTACTGTTTATAAATTGTGGTGCCTAAAATACCCTTCCGCGAAGGTACTACTTTTTCTTCGAAGGTACTACTTTTTTGAACTGAAGGTACTACTTTTTGGCGTCCAGGTACCATATTTTTTAAACACCCGCGAAGGTACTACTTTTTCTCCGAAGGTACTACTTTTTTGAACTGAAGGTACTACTTTTTTGTTAGGAAAGGACATTTTAGGCACCACAATTTTCTAAACAGTAAAAACCATGTGCCACCTCAGCAATCCATTTTAGTTAAATATGGAACTTTGATTCAGTCTCTAAGTAAATATGGAACTTTGACTCCATTTACATGTAATTTTTCCTTAAAGATATTATAATATTATATGGCGATATAATTTTTTACATGGGTGTTGTATTCTCCATATAAATGTATTCCTTTAGTATACAAAAGGAGTTGCATGAGTACAACTTAATGTCATTTGAGTTTCAATCATTCTATTCATGAATGATTTATGTACAATGTGTGTACACACCCCCCAAAAAAAAAAAAATTAAAGTAAATATAGAAGGACAATGATTTTAGGAATTGGTTTTCCTTTTAGAAAGCAAGCTCTTTGTTTGGTTGAAAACCACTTCTGTAGATGGTGGCTTTTACTTTAAATTTTTGGGATATTAGTTGACACATACTTTTAATTGAAAGCTAGTTTGTGTGGTTATTTGTAGATTCACTTTCTTTTTGTCTCTAAAATTAAACATAGAAGTGGACCCATAAATTCATCTGGGCAGTTGCTTAACTTGGGATTCTCGAGATCTGATTTCTGATGGCGTTGGGAGTGGTTGCATTGATCCAAAAAAGATGGTGGAAGTGGTTTGGGTATGGTTAGGGCTTAATTGGTTAAAAGTTAAAACCCAACCCCACACAGTGAAAATTACGAAAATCTCCAAAATGAAGTCATTCTACTTATATATCGTTAGATGACACACTATTCATTCATGGTACGGAAGTATTCATCAAACGGCTTCTGCAAGGCCGTTTTTGAGATCTCTTTCCAAACTTAAATGGTTTCATATAATTTAACTTGATTTTGAAAAGAAATGTTAGATAATATTAGGGTTAGAGTTTACTCATATACATCAACGGTCTTACTTACCCATAATTACCATGTTTAAATTTATTTACTCAACCATTTACGTTCAGCTATACATACCCCTTATACTATTGTTTTATTCATCTCATACAATACAATATTCATTCAATATATATATCTTGGAAATTTTAAAAATATTAATTTAAGGTCAATTTGGGGATATGTATAACCGAAAGGAGATGATGAAAGTGAAATGGCTTCTGCAGGCATTCAAAAAGTAGGTTCCTAGATCACTATCATTAATTCCTCTATGAAGTGAAACATACTATTCTCTCATCATCCTCTACTCCAACCTTTTATCCATTTCAGAATATTCATAGTGGATCATTCCTCCTCTCTTATCATGAAAGAGGGTGGAGGGTAGAGTTATATCCCATCACATATTCTTCCTTTCTCATGCTATGCTATACGTATTGGATTTAACAGATTATAAAGTAATATTTATGCATTTAGGCTTCAAGTACCTAATGCTTGTTTGGTAACATTGATAGAAAAACAGGTAAAAAGAAAAATAGAGGACGGATGAGAGAGAAGATGTTCTTCTCTCTTTTTATTTGATTGAGTGAGGGATGTAGAAGGAGGAGATAAATTCCTTTGTTGGGTAAGCGGGAAGGAAAGTAGATCTTTTCTATTTATTTATATTTTTTCCAATATGCTCTTATTACATAATTTTACAAAATTATTGAGGGGGTAATATATAGCATCACTCCCATCCATCCCTTCTTTTTGTTTTCCTCCACCTTTTTCTTGTAAGAAACAATAGATATGAAATTTTATACCACAACCTAATAGTATATATTATGGAGAGAGAGAGAGAGAACTGTATAACCACATGCACACACTTCTTCGTTTTTTTTTTTTTTTTTTTTTTTTTTTTTTTTTTTTTTTTTGTGCGGGGGGCCCCAATTTTTTTCAAAAGTTTTATTATACCCTAAAAAAATAGTCATTTTACAAGTTACTCGAACTATTGGTCCCTATAATTTTTTTTTCAAAACACTTATTTATTAGCCTAAAAATTAGGGACTATGGAAATTAATATAACTTGTATTTTTCCAAATTCATAAAAATAAAAATGTATATATATATATATATATATATATATATACCTTCTTAGCCTTACTTTTGAAGTCCAAGTCCAACCTTGTGAAACAAAAATTTAATTTCATTATTATGGCAAGTGAAGTAGAACTGATTGTCGAAATCTTTGTGGTCCATTTGGATCACCAGAGGGCCAAACGGACATGTTGACAGATTTTTTGGGTTGATCCTGAAGTGTCCATTTTTTACAAGACAGGAGAGTTTTTTTTACTGGCATATGGAAACTGTCCAACGAGCAAGACTCACAACTACGCTGTGGTGTAACTCGATTTTCAGCAAAATATCATCGTTTACAGTCTCAAAATGAGGTTTTTTGTCATATAGGAACCCTGTTGTATATTTTAGAATTTTTGTTTGTTGACTAATTGAACTCAGATTGCAATCATATTTTATATTTAGTATTATTTGATTAGGTTTCTTTCTTTATTTTATTTTTTTTAGAGATACTTTATTTTTAGACTTAATTTCTAGTATTAGTATCTTTCGGGATTAGGTTTTCTTATTCGTGTTGCAGTTAGTGTCCTTATGAATTATAATTTTCTTTCATTACAAATATATGGAATATAGAGATCAAAATCATTCATTCAATTATTCAATACAATATTATATTTTTGATCTAGGTACTCATATATTTTTTCTCAAAGTGGAAGAAAAGTACTCAAAAAAAAAATAAATAAATAAAAAAATCAACAAAACAAATTTGAAAAATTGAAAACAATTGTTGGAGGAAAATTAATTTTTTAACAATGATTTTTCTTTATTACTTCTTCTTACATGAACTTATCTTCTCTATGTTGTTTTATTTCTCATATCTATTTTCTATCTCTATTTATTTGGATTGTATTTTTCTTTTTCTTTTTTAATTATATTTTCCTCAATAAATATACCAAGACTAATATTGCAATTGATTCATAATTTTTTCAAATTATAATTACTCAATTATACTTTAGCCCCCTAATTCAAAATTCCTAACTTTGTCCCTGCACGCACACTTAAATATCCATATACGTGGAGGTTATACATACATCGAGTATCACTAAATTCTAGAGAGTTCTAAACAGTCTTATTTCCTCAGCCACTTGACCCTGATTGACATTCTAAGACCATTATATGAAAATTTTGTTTTCATTTGAGGTGGCCAACATTATTATGTTTAATTATTACAACCAAGACATGAAAAGAAAGGTTTCATTCAACGCATGGACGAAAAAGAATTTGGAATCATATCTCTTGGGTCCCTTCAAGAGAATGATTGGTAGAATCTAGAAAAGTCCTTACGTTTTTTTTTTCTATTTGTTTTCCTTCTATTATTATTATTATTATTATTATTATTTTGCCACTTTCTACCCATCTTTTGTAAATGTATAAAATTCATTTAGATCTTTTAAAATTTGTCCATACGTCAATTAGATTCTTTCAAATTTAAATATTTTTAATCAGATTCTTATTTTTTCTGACTCACATCAATAGTCCTCGTATAACGGTGAAAGATGTGTTTTTTTTTTTTTTTTTTTTTTTTGTTTTGAACATCAACAAAAAAACATATATATGCAACCTTAGGGATTCGAATGGATATATGCAAACTTAGCCCAAATTCCCCTCCTCATTCCCTCTAATTTAATTTAACATTTTTCCTCAACAATGATGGTAGATTAATCATTTCATTCCTTATTAGTCAACAAGGTCTAGCAGAGGGTTTGAATGAATATATGCTAACTTAGGAGTTCTAACTAAAGTATAGACAAACCTGAGGGGATTTAGGGAAAATTTACCCTTTATAAATCAACTTAATCATATATGTATATATATAAGAGCCTCAATGCCCTTTCAATCCTCAATCATGCTTTTAAGATCACTCTGTACTCTGTAGTACTATAATA